AGCGATAGTGCGAGGAAAGGGAGAATAGATGGGAATGGAGCCTAGAGAGACAGAGAGGGACATCTAATTTAATGCAGGAGACCTTTCTGAGAGGAAGCGTGTCCAGGAGGAGAGAGCAGCACAGGCAAAGGCCTGGAGGGGTGGAGAGTACATGGGTGCTCTTGAAACAGAAGGTTGCTGTCCTCTACTTTCTGGGGTGATTCACACCCTCCCCCGACATGCCTTAGTTCTCTTACTCCTCCCTACTGCATCCCCTTCCCCCCAGATCCCGGGCTGGAAGGGAACTGGAGAGCAGCCACTTAGGCTGTTGTCACTGCCCAAGCTAGATCCTTCTGCATGTCCCTCCGTGTGCCAACATCCTCTGCCCAGCACAGGCCTCGTTGCTCTGGAGTTTGCATCTGGGTTGAGCCAACAGGAGGTGGTGGTAGATCGATGGCAGGAGGAAAGAGAGAAAATGGTATTTATTCCAGCATGGTTGGTTGTAGCTCCAGACTGGATGCTCTCCCCACCACTGTCCTTCACCAGATTCTTGGAATTCGCCATCCCTTCCACCTTCCAGTCTCCAGCTGGTTCCCCTTCCTGCCACAGCTGGCCAGGTGTACTGCCCTCCTCCTTGTTGATTTCCTAAGCCCTCATCATACTTTCTTCAAACTGCCCAGTGTCAGCTGTCACTGTTTTCTGCTGGGACCCCCCCTCCCTTATGTAACACATGGCCCTAATCCATAGTCAGAGAATGGACAGAGCCCTATGGCATGCTGGGTAAATGTCAAGAGTTGTTGATTTTCATTAACTGTTCACCCTTTCCCAGCCCAAAACATCAGAGCACAGGATATCCAAGATACCTTGTACACAGAATTTTAAAAGCCCGAAGGTTATTGACCCTGTTTTTGGAAGAGGAAATGGAGTCACACATGTTGCCTAACCTCTACCCATAGGTTCCGCCTCTAGTTGGTTGGAGTCACAGATTGCAGCTATTCAAGAAAAAAATATTCAGGGGAAAATAAAAAAAGGCCTTTGTCCTGATTTTTTTCTTTTGTATTTTCATTTTTTTTTTTTGAGACAAGGTATCATGTATTCCAGTCTTACCTCAAATTTGCTATATAGGCAAGAATGACCTTGAACTTCTGGTTCTCCTGCCCCTAGCTTTCCAGTGCTGGGATGATAGGTATGTACTGCCATGCCCAGTTTATGTGATGCTGAGGATGAACTTGGAGCTTTGTGTATGCTATAAAAGTATTTTGACAATTGAGCTACATCCCGTTTGGCCCAACAATACACCAACTCTTTTTTGTCATATTCCCTAAATAATACAGTACAAAGACTCTTTACATAACATTTAAATTGTGTTATATGTTGTAAATTATCTAGAGATGATTTAACGTATATAGGAGGATGTGCACAGACTATAAAAATGCTGGAGAGATGGCTCAGTGGTTAAGAGCACTGACTGCTCTTCCAGAGGTCCTGAGTTCAATTCCCAGCAACCACATGGTGGCTCACAACCATCTGTAATGAGATCTGGTGCCCTCTTCTGGCCTGCAGTCATACACGCTGTATACATAATAAATAAATAAATCTAAAAAAAAAAAAAAAAAAAAAAAAAAATGCTACACCATCTTAATAACTTGAGAATTCTTGGTTTGCAGTGTTCACAGGGCTCCTGGAACAGTCTTTCACAGACACTGGGGGCTGGCTGTAGTTAGAGGCAGGTCCACAGGTTAACTCAAGCCTGGACTCAGGAGGAATGGGTAACTTGGTGTAATCACTAAATGTGATTCATTCTCCATTTCCCCTGGCCAAGCACCAGGCTTCTAAACAGTTGACAGGTCCCATCCATGATCACCCTACCTCTCCAGCCTTGTCTCCCACCTCCTAGCCACTCTGGGAACACTATGGTAAAAACACATATCTGGATTTTGCTCTGAGAGCTCATGGTCTAATGGGAAGGCAGACCCCAAATCAGCACATAGATCTACGGAAAGGTGGATGGAGGCCCATGAACAAAGGGATGTGGATGGGTAATGGCGCCTTTACTGAGAGACAGAGACTGGGGGCAGCTGGAGTTCTGGAGCATGTGTCACTTAGGGATGAGTGAGTTGTTAGACCTGGGGTCTGATGCAAGAGGATTTAGCCTAAAGGTTGAAAAGCACCCTGCTGTTCCTCCTGGCTTTCTCCAATTCTATCTTTTCTTGGAGAGTTTTCCTTGAGAACACAATGCCAAGCGATTTCCACAGCCATAACCATCATTCATTCATTCATTCATTCATTTGCTCAACAGATTCATCTTTCCATCTACCCTGTGCTAGATTTGGTTCTGAGAATGACTTGGTACCCTCCAAGAGCTCTGTTCCAGGGTTGGAGTCAACAAATAAAGCAGATAATCATAACCCAGAATGGAAGGTGCTGGGCTAAAGGGAAGTACTGTAGAAGCACCAAAATGGGCCTCAGAAGCAGACAGACTTAATACCAGTAACAGAGAAGGCTCTGTTTCGAGATGGCCAAGGGAGTGGACAACCATAAGGGGGGTTAGAGTATCCTGGGACTTGAAACACTTGGGCATCATTGCCACCCTTAGACCTGATGGGAAAGAGAGTCAGGGAGAGTCAGTCGGAAGATGGCGCCTCAGCTGAGGATGTAGCCAGAACACTAGCAACAGATTAGAAAATAAATGCAGGATGGCCAGAGAGATGGCTCAGCAGGTAGGGTCACTCATCACCAAATCTGCCAACCTGAGTTCAGTGCCCAGAACCCACGTGATCGACGGTGCTATTGACAAGCAGAATAGAGAAGGGTATTAGGGATTATGAGAAGGAAGGGATTTGAATTTGGAAAGAGGGTGGTTAAGGAAGGACATCACAGGAGGGTGGCATTCAAGCTAAGGCTTGAAGGTGGTATATCTCTAGGTGAGTCTTTCCTTCATCCTAAGGTTAGCTCATCCTAGCCTCAATCTCTACTCTCTCTCCCGGTCTTAATGGAAGACCTTGCACCTGTGGATGGAGGAGCTTCTCTCTCACAGGCTCCTCAGGGACAGAAACTGTTGACTCCTGCCCTTTCTCATCTAACGAACAATGCCTTTACTGCACACGTCCAGAATGCCAAGCTCTGTGTACCTTGGGCGCATGAGCCTCACAGGAAACCTGCACAGCACAGTCAGGGGACGTGCGGCAGCTCAAGCCATGTTCCAACAGCTGCTTTCTCTAAAGGAAAGATCAGGCTTTCATGTTTCCAGTGGGTGCAAAACCAAAGGGCAGAGGGAGGCCGCTTGAGATGTGAAGATATCCTGACAATCGGAGGCAAAGAGCTTCCTCCCTGCCATTAGTGAAGCTGGACAGCCCCAGGTCAAACTGGAAACAAAAGAGGATTCACTAGGTGAGGGGACCGACGGGAGAGCTGGGAGTGCTTCCAACTTAGTTCTACGGCTGATGATTCTAGAACTCTAAGACGGTCTGAATCAGACTCTCTGATTCTAAAATGTTATTGAAACAGAAGATGATCTGTGTCCTCAGAGCATTAGCAATCGAATTAACTGCCCAGCCCTCAGTAACTGTAGCAAACGGTCCTATCTGAATACAGGCTCTTCCCAAACTAGGGGAGGGAGGGAAGAGGACCTTGACGGAACCAAGGCTGCTTACCCAAGGATAGTCTTTTAAATTTTTTTTCAGATTTATTGATTTTTATTTTAGGTCTATGATTTTTGCCCACCTGTATGCCTGTATACCATATATGTACCTGGTACCAGAGCAGGTCAGAAGAGGGCATTAGAGCCTCTAAAACTAAATTGGGGTTACAGGTGGTTGTGAGATATTGTGTGAGTGCTGGAAACCTAACAGGGTCCCCTGCAAGAACAGCAGATGTTCTTAGCTGTTGAACCATGTTTCCACCCCTGTGGGTTTTGGTGTGTGTGTGTGTGTGTGTGTGTGTGTGTGTGTGTGTGTGTGTGTACCTGAGTGTTTTACCTGCATGTATGTCTGTGCACCCTTGTATGCCTGGTGCTCTCAAGGCAAGTCTTTTTGTTGTTGTTGTTGTTGTTGTTTTAGTTTGGTTTGGTTTGGTTTTTCGAGACAGGGTTTTTCTGTGTAGCTTTGGAGCCTGTCCTGGAACTCACTCTGTAGCCCAGGCTGGCCTCGAACTCACAGAGATCCGCCTGCCTCTGCCTCCCGAGTGCTGGGATTAAAGGCGTGTGCCACCACCACCTGGCTCTCAAGGCAAGTCTTAAGCACCACTGGGAGTCTTGTTTTTAAAAATGCTGATTTCTGGGCCCCACTCCAGACCTTCTGAATCAGAGCCTCTGTGAGGAACCTGCAGTCTACTTTACTGAAACAAGCACCCCTTGTTTTGTAGACTGGGAACTAAGAGTGGGAACCTAGGTGGCCAGGATAACTTCTCTGACAGGTGGTCTCCAGCATAGGGAGAAATGGCTGGATAGAAGCAACACGGCAATGACGTGTTTTGAAGGAGGTTAGAAATTATGCACAAGATGCCTACCACAGGGCAGGTCTTTTTGTTCTCCCTAAGCACTTCTTAGATAATCATATCCTTAAGTTCTGCAATTGAGATTGTGTGCCTCAGATCTACTGCAGTAGATCTGAATGTGTTGATTGTGTGACCCTCCGCTGGTAAAGAGAGCTTGAGTAAAGTGGTCCCTAAGTCCCTGAGAGGCTGGTCCCTGTTTCTGTCATTTTCCCGATGGTGGCCTCCTGGCCCTCCGTTTCTCACCTTCCCTTGGCTTCTTCTCTTTTACGTAGCCTGTAATATCATCAGAAACGATTTGAAGGAGGACCGAGTGGCTGGAGCACGAGTGATCTGGGGCAGACACCAGTTAAGGTGTAGCTGGACGCAAGTTGATCAGGAATGTGAGGGACCACGGAGGGAGGAGGCACCTGCTGGAGTGAAGTGGATTCTGAGTCTCAGGTCTGACACTAACTTGCTTGGTGAGTATAGACAAGTCACCTCCCCAATTTGGGCATCTGCAAACTGGAAAACAGGGTTTGTGTTAGAATCAGATTTTTTTTTTTTTCCTGGCTATTCCGGTTTTAGTATTTTGGATTCTGGGAGCACGTTTGACCCTACCACAAGCCAGTGAAGAACGCGTGTAAGAATGGTGGTACCCACTGTGAGGAAGCCAAGGCCCCAGTAGGGAGCTGCTCAGTGCCACACAGCCACACGGGTGCCACGCCCAACTCCATCAACCCCCAGCGCTTGGTCTGGGTTTCTGGAGAACAGCTTTTTGCTGGGTTGGCTGAGACATAGCGACACAAACGAGAAAAATTCGGTCTCAGGTCCAGGAAGCGGGCGGTTCCCCACAACCGGGTGAGGCCAAGGAGCTGGGCGGAGGCACCCGAAGCTAGCCAGCGCTGAAACTGGTGTGCTAGGGCAGGGCGGGGCCGGAGGAGGGGACACACTGGGAAGGGTAAAGGGAACCAAGAGCCAGTAGGAGTGCAGAGCAGGGAGGGCAGGGAGCGCTGCTGGGCATCATTGCCGCGCTCACCGGAGACAAAGCCCAGAGGCAGGTAAGGCGCACCCACAGGGTTTGAAAAGTGCAGGGGGTTGCATCTCCCTGGCGGGGTCCAGGATGTGTTTTCCTTGACAGGCAGGACCCGATTTGGGATGCTGCTAAAATACTGAGTAGATTCTCCCCAGGGAGAAGAGCGGGTATCCCCAAGGCAGCACGAGGGAGTCGAGAGCGTAGCTGCGCATGGACATCGTGGGAGGCTCGCACACGTCCTGCCAGGACTCCCTCAAGGCAGCCAGAGCTCCTCCCCGCCTACAGATAGGCAAGAGAACAGCACAGGTCTGCAGGGGGACATTCGCGGAAATACCGTTCCAGGAGTCAGTCTGGCTCGACCCAAGCTGCGGGCTCTGCAGAACTGCCATGCCCACTCTACTCCACTGTGACTAGCCCTCTGCGACCAGTTCTAGGAAAGCCGGGGACTCCCAAAGCATCTTGTGTGGCTAGTAGCAGGTCTAGGTCGGAAGGCGGACGTCTTGGGTTCTAGTTTTCAGGTAGTGTAAACCTGTGCCGACCAACCACGGCTCGGTGACTTGCGCTTTCTTCTCTTAGGTCACACCTGTAGAATGGGTCTCCTCCTCCAGCTGCCCCACATAAACCACATTAGGGCACGGGAGTATTTGAGAGGTCTCTTAGTCAGCGTGGGAGAGCCCAGGGAGCGATTCCTCCTAATTCCTGCCTCCTACTCCTCATTCATTTTCATGTGAGGAAACTGAGGCCCTTATCTAGCTAGGGTCACAGCAGGGGCCAAACTGAATGGGAGCCAGTGTCTCTTCACCCCTAGCCCCAGGACTCTATTTCACTTAAAGATATGGAATAAACTCCTTCTCTCTGGCACTCAGCCACTTTGTCCATTCCAAAAGAGGGGTGCTATGCTGGAGGCATTAAAAACTGCCTTTCAAGTCTTGACTCCCTCAGATGAAAATCAACAAGTCACTTTCTTCACTTCTCCCTGCTCAGGGCGCATTTCTATCTGTAATGCCGCTGTGCTTGAAGCACCTTCTAAGAGGGAGGCCAGACAAGACCAAGGACCTCCAGTCTACACATGGCTACACATACTAGCCCAAGAGGGGGCAGAAACCCAGATCTTCTCCATCTCATACTACAGAATGACACTTCTAATGGCAAGGGTTCGTGGGAAATGTGAAGGAGGCCAACATTTCTGAGATTCACAAAGAGTAGTAAGAAACCCCCGGTGTCTGTGGAGGGTTGGAGGGCCACAACAGGGGGTGGCACGTGGTGACCGTTCTTGGTAATGACGGGTGAACAGAGACGTGGAGACAGCTAGGGGAACAATGTGAGCAGGCTTCCCAGTAACGTTCTCTTACGTTTGCTGTTTCTAAGACACTTTCCCATCTATTGTCTCTTCCAGTTCTCACAAGGTAAGCGGGGCATGGTAATTGCCTCCATCTTACAGATGTGGTTCTGAGAAAATAAACGCAGTATTCAAGGTCACACAGCCAGACACAAGCCGGGACTGAGATCATGAAAGGCTCCCTTGAAAGGCAAGATCACAGGCTAGGCTGAGATTGGGCTGTGTGTGTGTGCAGTTTGTGGGTGTGGGTGGCCACACCTTAAGTAGGTACACAGGGAAGAGCATTGCAAAACCATTTATTGGTGTTTGGGGGCCAAGAATGTTTGCCCTTTGGATAAATGGGTTTGGAACAGATGCAGGAAGTGTCTGGGCTTCCAAAGGAGGCTCACAATTGCCCTTCCCTGCCCCATGCCACCTGATCAAGGAACCCCCCCCCTTTCCCTAAGGCAGCCTGTCCTGATCTAACTTGGAGTTGTTCCTCTTTGTTTTTCTCTTAAAGCATTGAAAGCTGTTTCCATGAATCTGTTGGGGAAAGAGTTAAGGGTGGGGGGCTCTCTTATGGAAGAGGTTTGATTCACTCATTCTCTTAGTCTTCAGTGCTTGCTGTGTAAACAGGCCTGGAGAATAAAGAAATGCATGAGGTCCAGGTCCCTGCCCTGAAACCTCCAAGCATATGCATATGGGCCCACTGGCGTACTCACCCACAATGGCTGAACAGCAGGATTTTCTAATGAGGCTGTTTTCAAAGCACTCTGGTAACAAACGAGAGAAACTAACTAGTTGCTGCCTCGGGAGGGGAGAGGAGCCTTGGGAAAGGATGAATGAAGAGTTTGCTGAGCAGAGGGCAAGTGCAAAGGAATTCCTGCTTAAGAAAACAGCACAAGCAAAGGCAAGAAAAACGCACGGAAGTGCAAGCAGTGTCTGTCGGCTGAATTCACGGCCTGCAGCTCTCTGTCATGAGCACAGACTCTGGGAGAGCCATGGGGAGATGGAGCCAGGGGCAGGGTCAATTCCACAGGATTTCGACAACCGTTAGTTCTTTTCAGCTTGCTCAACAGCCGTTCAGCTAGCCCATTGCCTATTTCAAGCAAAGGCCTCTCTACGGCTGGAACTCTGCCTCTTCCATCCTGGAAGCTTGATAATCAATGACTCTCCAGGAGCTGGAAGCCAGAGGCAGGTCCTAGGGAACCAGGCTACCCCTTTACAGCTCTCCGCTTCTCCTTACCCCAACAGTATGCCCAGTACCTGGCACCTTATCCCCACCCAAACCCAGCACCTAAGAGTATGGACTATGGCCTCTTTGTTCCCCAGTCAGAACTCCAAATGTCCCAAGAGTCTCTGACTGGAGGGTCTGATGGATGCGAGGCTGCTTGCCTCTCCACTCCACTCAGCGAATTTCAGCCTGCCCTTCACTTGCCTTACTCCCATGTCCCACACTATCTGTCTCTTCCCCTGGCCAGACCACCCGTGCGGGTGAGGTCCTAGGAGGAAAAGGGGACACGTCAACCCGTTGTCCCTCAGTTTACCTAGGCTGGAATGTCAGGTGTAAGTCAATCCAGAGACTCAGGAATATCTTTACCTGCTAGGAAGACTACGGCCCTCTCCATCTCGGGCTTTGAAGGCCTCTAGAAGGCTCCCAAAGTCTGCCTCCACTAGCCAAGCCAATCTCGCAAGATCTCACAACATGACTCTGTGATTCATACTGTCACAGGATGTTTGAGCTGACCATGACCCCTTCATTTTACAGATGCAGATAGAAGTTGAGATAAAAAAAAAAAAAAAAAGGAAATCACATGCCCGAAGTCACACAAGTAGCAGCTGGACCGAGACAGCTGCCTGGGCTTCCATTTCCTTTACTGTAAAATGAGGACAGTTAGCCTTCATGAACTCTGAAGGTCCTTCCAGCTCCTGAACTACACAAACCACCGCCACCACCTGTGGCATTTACAGCTATGCCTTACAGAATGCTCTTTAATTTTCACAACAAAGCCGTGCTATAGAGAGTTCATTCTGGGACATGTTCGTTTTAATTATTTTATGGCATTTATTGGGAGTGTGTGCGTATGTGGAGGTCAGAGGGCAGCTTTCAGGAGTTGGTTAGTTCTCTCTTTCCACCATATAGATTCCAGGATCAAACTCAGGCCATCCGGGTTAGCAGCAGGTACCTTTACTCACTGAATCATCACGGTGGCCCTCTGGGGGCACATCTGTATGCTGTCTGTCCAAATGGATTTGATTAGTAACGATCCTTCTATTTCTAGGGAACTGCAGACTGCCATTTCCCCACTCAGCTCACTCTCTTGGGTTCTGAAAGGCTTCTCCTAAGGTGCCAGCACCCTGGGGAAGGAGAAGGTTTTGAGGTTGTGCCATTGGCTGGGCCACAAGTTAAACTGAGGCTTCCCACAAAGTCAGCCAGTTAAGATGTTAGGAACCTGGGACTGGGAGACAGCAATCAGATGTCCCTTGGCCAGCGCATAGTTCCTGTAGCTACAACTCTAGGCTGGCCTGGGCCAGCTGTTCCAGGAAGGGGAGAGGAATAGGGGTGGGGTCAGAACCCACAGAAAGATGATTGCATAACCTTTAGAAACTGACCTTGGGCGATCCACCCTTGGTTCTGAGGTTTGTGTGTCTGGTTCCTTTCTCTTCCTCCTCTTCTGCTTCCTCCCCAATTTCTAGTTCTTGGCTTTCCTGTCAACACCAAGACTCTGGCTGTATCCACATCCCTGGAGAGGCCAAGGAACTGAGGAGCCGTGGGACACCCACCAGGAGATTCTCAAAGATGTCTGGGAGCCAGCAGAGTTCCTGTACTGTTTGGTGAGTTCTCCAGATCTGTGATGCCTTCCCTTGTGCCCCATTGTTCAAAACCCCTTTCCAAGGAAGGATACCCAAGAAAGCTGACCAGGAACAGGGAGATTTCACCTCTGCTGTATGGATGCTTCGGGTCTTAAAAACTGAGTGTATTTGCTTCTCAAAATGAAAAGCACATCCATCTTCTTCAATGCAGTAAAAGAGTGTTATAGTTATAGTTAAAAATACTTAATTCCAAATCTGCCCTCTTAACCACAGGAGTGCATAACTAAGTAGTATTGCCCATCTTTACATTGCCATGGCATAAATCTCTAGAACTCTGCATCCTGCAACAGAAACTTCACACTCGTTGTTCAACAACTCCCACTGATGATCTTTTTTTGATAGATAAGAAAGCCATCTCCATCACGGAAACTAACCTCCCTCAGCATGGGCTTGTCTAGATCCATGCTGTTTGTCTGTGTCTGTCTGTAAATTTGTCTGGGGCTTTTCCTCCTTAGACATTCATGTTAGTCATTCCCTCCCCCAAATCGGTCTCATGTGTCACATCTGTCCTGCTGCCACTTTGTCATGCCTTCTACCCTGCTCCAGAACTCAACACCTGTCCCCAAACATCTTAAGATCCTTATCACTGGCCTGCCTCAACTCTCACCCCTGCCAGGTCACAGAGCAGCTACATCATTATTTCAAAGCACAGAGCTGCACATTTTACCCTCTTAAAATGCAATGGTATCTTCAAAGCCAACTGTGGGAGCAAGTCCCAACACTCAGCATGGCACTCCAGTCCCCTGTGATTTAGTCCCATTGGTTTTTTTCTGTCCCACATCCTGTCTTCTCCTTCTGCCCATCTTACATTCCAGCCTCTTGAAGTGATCTTCCATTCTTCTAGACATTTTGTGTAATGTCTTATTGATGTTCATCTCTTTCCCGTCCTTGCCTTCTCTACCTCTTAGAACGATTCAAGGTCCCGTTCAAATCACTCCACCCCAGTGAACATTCTCTAAGCCCTGATGAGTGTTAATCACCTTAAGTAGCTCTTTACATAGCTCCTGGCTTGTCACCTGCATCATATTAGGCTGGCCTGGAGGGTGAGGACTGGGTTTGAGCTTTCTCAAGGCCCCGGCATAGACCCTAGTCCAAGAAAATAATGACTCATTGAGTCATTCATTTCACTATGGAGTTCCTGCTTGCCGCTGGCCCATGTGGAGGAAAATTCAGGTTTCTTGCCCCTTACATCTTAATTCAGGAAGTCTATATGTTCTTTTCCCTTCTTCATCCAGACAAGAGCACAGGATGGCAGAGAACCTCAAACGCATTTCATAGAATGTAGGCCAGTCGTGGATGGCAGTAGGGTGCTGCTATATTATTTAGATTCTGTTCCTCTAATTCTGCGTAGAGCTGTCCTGAGTATTTATCATGGCCAGAACTACCTTTTCTAGGGGAGAGACCTGGTAGGTAATAATCATGTTTGGTACATACAGGTAATAATAATGTTTGCTGACAGTTCTGCCTAGGTGAAAGAGAGCTTTGGAATCAGCCACTGAATTGTGGGTATTTGGCCTATTAAAGAGCCCTGAAAATAGACACTGTTTACTACTCCCTGGTCATGAATAAGCTACTTATTTGTTTGGGGCCTCAGTTTCCCTGTGCATAAAATGGAAGGAGTTAGATTAGATAACCTCTAAAGTTTTCGTAACCTAGTCAATTTATGCAATCCAAGAAAGAGAGAGTAATATGGCTTTTGATGGCCAGGGAGGGCTCTATCCCACACGCACTGTGGATGCTTTCGTGAGTGCTCATGTACAGCAGTGAGCGAAGCAGATGTAGCACTTCCTGTCACTGACCCTGAGGCCTAATGGAGAAGACAGAGAAGCAAAAAAGAGCGGAGAAGAGACATGGTATCGGGGCTCTAGCCTGGTCTGCAAAGTGGGGAAGCCGTTCAAGCTGCGGGTAACAGGCACCCCTTCCCTTTTTTTCTCACCATCAGATCGCATTCCAGTTCTTCCTGTACCTCAATTTCTGTTGCTATGGAGACTTCCAATGGGACTGAGACCTGGTACAAGAGCCTCCATGCTGTGCTGAAGGCTTTGAATGCTACCCTTCACAGTCACTTGCTCTGCCGGCCCGGGCCAGGGCCAGGACCTGGGCCAGACAACCAAACTGAAGAGCGTCGGGCTAGCCTTCCTGGCCGTGATGACAACTCCTACATGTATATTCTCTTTGTCATGTTCCTATTTGCTGTCACTGTGGGCAGTCTCATCCTGGGATACACGCGTTCACGCAAAGTGGACAAACGTAGTGACCCCTATCACGTGTACATCAAGAACCGCGTGTCTATGATCTGATGTGAGGTGCCTGAGGATGATGGAAGATTACGATGCCTGAAGATTGTCTTCTTGGGCCTCTAGAATTCAGCTCTGGACCCTACCAACCCTTAGTGTCTCTATCTATGTAAGAGCAACAAGAAATCGGTAAGAGAGATCGTCACTGGGACCAGAGAGGAGGGGCTGGTAGGCCTGGCCTTGTGGATAATACATTTTTTCCAGACAAAGATAGGCATTATAAACCAGGAGCCCATGAACAAATATAAAGAAGTATGGACTACCGGCAAGCAGGAAAAGAGGAAGGCGAAGGGAAATGGAGCAGAAGACGCTCTGGACACATGCTCTTTTAATGTATGATCTTCAAACATGAGAAACCTTGATAAAATCGAGTAACGCTACTTATTTGTGTTTATATTTCTTTCTTTTTGTTTTTTTTTTGTTTTGTTTTTTTTGTTTTTCGAGACAGGGTTTCTCTGTGTAGCTTTGCGCCTTTCCTGGCTCTCGCGCTGTAGACCAGGCTGGCCTCGAACTCACAGAGATCCGCCTGCCTCTGCCTCCCGAGTGTTGGGATTATTAAAGGCGTGTGCCACCACCGCCCGGCTGTGTTTATATTTCTTTAAACATACTTAACACATGTGGGTTTTGCCTCATCTGCCAACAAAGCAGAACAGGTGCCACGACTGGAATCCAGGAACTCTGGTCCTTTTGTCTAGGACTTCTTAATGACACATGGGGTAAGATCTGGGCCCAAAGAACTTGAGGTGGAGCTTAGTAGTACATGCCTGTAATCCTAGTGCTTAAGAGGCTGAGTGGGGAGGATCATTTGAGTTCAGGAGTTCAAGACTGGCCTGGACAAGCCCTGTTTTGGTAGGGAGCTTGGGGGGCAGGGAGGCAGTGAGAAATACGTTACTTTTACAAATATTACCAAAGACATGTCACTGTGTTAATGTATTGCTCAAGCACTTCCAGGATCTTTTTTTTTTTTTTTTGGTTTTTCAAGACAGGGTTTCTCTCTGTGTAGCTTTGCATCTTTCCTGGAACTCACTTGGTAGCCCAGGCTGGCCTCGAACTCACAGAGATCCGCCTGCCTCTGCCTCCCGAGTGCTGGGATTAAAGGCGTGTGCCACCATCGCCCGGCTCACTTCCAGGATCTTAAGACAGAAACTGTGCAAAGCGCAGGGTCCTGAGCATTATATTCGTTAGTGACATGGGTATGTGCCTCTTCAGACATGTCACCCCGTCCTTTCCAGTCACGTCTCCAATCCCAGGGACTTCACTACCTCCGATGTAGCTTCTTCTGCTCTGTGAGAAATGTTCTAATACTAACTTGAAATTTGCTTCTAAGGGATTATTACTACACCTAGGAGATGGCCATATTAAATGATACAGTGTGTAAAAGGATTGGTTTAACGGGAGAACCAGTGAGCATCTTACTTTTAAAGTGGTGTATAACTTTAGCTGGTTGTTCCGGGTGGAAGTTTCTCATTTTTGTTAACCTGATACAATACAGAATCATCTGAGAAGAGGGAAAGTCAGCTGAGAAAATGCCCCCATCAGACTGGCCGGCAGGTAAGCCTGTAGGTTGATGATTGGTGTGAAAGGTCCCAGGCCACTGTGAGTCGTGTCATCCTTGGGCAATGGTCCTGGGTACCTAGGAAAGCAAACTGAACAGGATGAGGAAGCCAGTAGGTAACTCCCCCATCGATTGTGCTTCGGTTCCTGCCTCCAGGTTCCTGCCCTTACTCCTCTCAGTGATGGACTGTGACCTGAAAGATGTAAGATAAAGTAAACCCTTTCCTTCCCCAAGTTTCTTTTGGTTATGATGCTTATCACAGCACTAAAAACCTTAAGTAAAAACAGCTGGATACTTCCCTTTTTGGTCCTTTTTTTCTCTTTAGTATAATGAAGTAGACTTGAAAGTCTAATAGGCTTATCAGTTCTGCTCTTACACTCGCATGCATTAGGCTGAAGCACATAAAATTGCTGTTTGCAGGTCAAAAGCAGGTGAGTATCAGTCCTTTCGCATGGTTCTACCTAGTTCGTATACCACGGTGAATGAGTTCTTCACCAGCCATTTGCTCCATGCCCCACACTGAAACCACCCATTGCTGTGTCTGATTTCAATCTGAAGGATCCCTGTGTGCTTCCCAGAAGGCCCACTGAAACATACATACTCGTATTCAGCAACTGCTCAAAGGATTTTGGATAGCAGTTATCTCAATGGCTTGGATTATAGGTGGATTTTCCCTTTCCATTTCAGCAGTGTGTGTGATACATGACTTATAAGAACCAACATATGATGCTTGCATTATAAAGGTCACGAAAGCTGCTTCTCCCAGTAAAATCAAATATTTCTCAGTTAAAAGCCTGGGCTGCTCTTGCAGAGGACACAGGTTTGGTTTCCAGCTCCATGTGGCTCACAACCGTCTGACTCCTGTTCTAAGGGATCCAGTGCCCTCTTCTGGCCCCTGAGGGCACCAGGCATGCTCGTGATGCACCGACAGATGTGCAGGCAAACATCCATACACATAAATAAAAATGAATAAATCTTTAGAAACAATAAGATAAATGCTTCTGTGTTTCTTGAATGGAGCCTCAAAAGAGCAGTTATGTTGAATCTCTGCAAAAGTATCAGAGTCAATGTTTTGAGCTCTCTCTCTCTCTTTTAAATCTCTTCTTGAGGGGAAAGGGATGACTTCCTTAAGGACATATGATAAGGCACGACGGCATATTCTAGAGTCTACAGCCAATGGGACTCTAGAGGCTATCTACTCTAAACACTCAAGTAAATGGTGGGCTGCAATCAAATACAGCTTTGAGTGGTCAGGTAATAAAGGGTAGAAGTGTTTTTGAGAAATGAGATTAACTTGATCTGCAGGATTTAGAGAATGGGAGAAGTGGAGAACTGGAACACAGCTCTGAAATGTAGGATAAACAGGCAGAGTGAATGAAGAAAATGAGGCAAGGGGAGCTTGAAGCAGAGACTTTCAAACACACTGTCCTTGGGAATTGGGGAGAAGGAGCAGAAGCTGCCCCTGTGTGGCTTTGTGACTCTGTCCCCATCTGTGGAGAGGTCTCAGCACACACCTATACTCAGCAGGAGACTTAATTCTAATTCCTTTACTTGCAAGTTACAGAAACCCAGATTATATTACTATGAGCACAGGGGAGATCATGAGAAGCCCGGCACAGCTCATGGGTTCAAACAGGAGCTTCAGAGACTGAGGCAACCGTAGGGATCTCAGGACCAGGAACTTGTCTGAATTCACAAGACAGGCGGGCAGTGTGTTTCACTACTGAGAGTTGGTAGTAGAAATTCTGGAATTTCAAGCGGCAGATTTAACATTCTAATATGCTCGGATGAAGGCATTCCTCTCAGCCCTCTGTCAGATGGACCTCAGTCCTCAGCCCATCAGACTTTTGTCTGCTTCTGTTTTGCCCTCTGCTGGCCAAATCTCAGAACGTAGCCTTGACTCGCAAAGCAAAGTTTCAGTCTCATTTTTTCCAGCTGGTATTTGTTGTGTGCATACTTCACGGTGAGCATCACACAGGCAAGATTGTCATACATAAGTAAAACAATGCCCAAGGGCATTTGCTATACATCAGGCAATGGCCTACGAACTTATACTCCTTAATTCAGATTTTTAAATTCCCATGATGATATAACACAACCGGTACATCCTATAACCTTCAAAAAAGCTCACTTATTTTTGATCTAGTGCCTTCAGAACAAACCATTTAGTCATGCCTGTGGTGTGCACAGGCCAGATCCGAAGTTCCCTGGAACTAAATGGGAAAGTAATTTGGAAAAATGAGAGCAAAATTTTGACACCAGTGATGTTGAATTTACTAGAAAGAGCACCCAAGACAAATGTTTAGTGGTGAGGAATGCTTGGCAGGGAAGATGTGCAAGAAAAAACGAAGTAGACAGGGAAGGAAAAGAGGCAGACAAAGTGTGCCAGGTTATGCCCAGCCTTGGTCTGATGCGCAGGGAACTGTCCTCTGTGACTGGACATACACTATATAGCAGAACATACACTCCTTTGAGGTAAGGGAACCTTTTGTACCCCTAGTCAGTCCATCATTGCAAGTAACCCTGCTCAAGATGGGAAGACCAGAAGAGGAGGCGAGGGGGTTCTGGTCAGTGGAGGACAGTTCTGTGGAGAAGGCAGGCAGCCATGAGCTGTGGCAGGAGAGCACCGTGAATGCGAGCTAACCAGGATGTGCTCATGGTTGAATTAGCTACAGTTTGGTTCCTGGAGAAGGTTCTGAAGTTGCCACTGAGTTGGTTCCACCTTTTGAGGCTCTCCTTTTTATACACGTTGGGCCTGCTGGTGGTTAGAGGGGTACTCAACCCCCTTCCTTCCCCCCAGTATGCTTGCATTTGCCTGAGGCCCAGTCTGGGGAAGGTGCAACACTAAGCTAAGGATAGCATCACTCCCCGCAGGCGAAGGGTTTTACAGAGGACTACGTGAGCATCCACCACAGCAGTGCTAACTGAGAAACAGGAGCAGAATGTTCCCTCTTGAGAGAGCCTTCACGTTTAAGAGATGAGACGGAAACTGGGCAGGATGGTACATGCTTGCAATCCCAGCACTTGGGAGGTAAGGTAAGAGGATCAGGAGTCCAAGGGCATCCTCAGCTACATAGTGGGTTCAAAGCTGGCCTTGGCTACAGGAACAGGGGTTCTCAAAAATCAGGGGTGAGGGGAAGTACCAGAAGGCAGAGGGGACAGACATTAATATGAAGGTCAAAAAGAGGAAAGGGGACAGCGGGGCGATGACCTTTACTAGAGGCTGGCATGCTGACACTTTTGCAATCTCAGCACTGGGGAAGTGGAGGCAGGTAGATCCCTGGGACCCACTGGCCATCCAGTGTAGCCTACTGGGAGAGCACCCAGCCAATGAGAGATCCTGTCTCACAAAATAAGATGGATGGCATCTGAGAGACATCAGTCAAAGCTGCCCTCTGGCTTCCACATGCACACATGCACACATGTACACATGTACCTGCATGTAGAAGCATGTACACCACGTACCAAAAAAGGAGGAAAAGGAAGTGTTTGTGGATGTTTCTGGAAGTGGACATTTAGTAAGTCTTGATTAGGAGGTACAATAGAGTGCGGTCCATGGATGGTGACCGAAGTGGGTTGATGGCTCTGCTGCGTCGTGTCATTCAGTGACCCAGGACAATGACTCCAACTAACATGTATTACTCAGGGTCATTCTGGCTGAAGCATTTCTACCTAGTGAGGAGAAAGAGAGAACAGCAGTCCAGGCCAGAGGTTTACTTGTAAGCACACTTGGCAAAAGCTGCATGTGTTTCATTTGCTCAGGTCCGTTCAGGAGGGATCAGCCCACACAGGCTGCAAGGGAAGCTGGCACAGGAGGTCTGTCTGGCTACTCACATCCCAGCCAATGTCTGTTACTTTTGAACGAGGGAACACAGCTTGGTGAACAGCTGATAGTGTTGAGTCCACCCTTCTCTCTCCCAACACAACTGGTCAAGATCAAAACGCTTATAATGCTGCTAGAAGGAAGAAACGTTGCTACTTGAATTGGATCTTC